TAGAGGGTGTGATGCCATCACAAAAGGACACATTTTGTTGTTCACATGGCCTAGATTGAAATCATAATACTGTAGAATACTTTATTTTCGCTTGGAATTTATTTTCGCTATTTTCGCTGAAGGGATGTTTCCGTGAAAATAAAATCCAGTGAATATATAGTTTTTTTCCTATATTTCACATTAAACTCATCAAAAATCAGTGAAAATAAATTCCACACAAAACGCCCGAAAAGCCTTTTCAGCGAAAATTAATTCCAGTGAAAATAAAGTATTCCACAGTATCAGTAGGTGTGAAAACAGATTATTATAACAGATAATTCCCTCCAGTAGCAGCCAGCCATATTACCTAACAATTCCAATATTATCAACATTTCAGAGGTCATGTTAGTTCACACATATTTTAAAAGTAGACAACTGATTTTGTTGCAACTATAATGTACTTTATAATTTGTGAGAAAACAATACATTTTATGGTTAAATTTCAATATCCACTCAGTTTTAATTATTTTTAGCATGCATTAATAGTAATTAATTAATTAGCAAAAATAAAACCCAGCTAACATTAAGCACTATACAGTAGTAAAGTGTAATTTTTTGTATACATCCAATTATTTTCCTAAATCAATATTTTTGTGTGTAGAACACATGGTAGAACCAACATAGAAATCAATATTGTAAATAAGCTTAACTTAATAACACTGAACACACCAGGTTGCTGAGGCAGCTTGCAAGGAAAGCACTGAGGCAACTTGCAAGGAACGTACATTTGTACTGAGGCAACTTGCAAGGAAAGCACTGAGGCAGCTTGCAAGGAACGTACATTTGTACTGAGGCAACTTGCAAGGAAAGCACTGAGGCAACTTGCAAGGAACGTTTATTTGTACTGAGGCAACTTGCAAGGAAAGCACTGAGGCAACTTGCAAGGAACGTTTATTTGTACTGAGGCAACTTGCAAGGAAAGCACTGAGGCAACTTGCAAGGAACGTACATTTGTACTGAGGCAACTTGCAAGGAAAGCACTGAGGCAACTTGCAAGGAACGTACATTTGTACTGAGGCAACTTGCAAGGAAAGCACTGAGGCAGCTTGCACAGTACACGTAATATATTGGGTTTTGGTTTACATGCACCTATAGTACCCCGGTATATAATTTAATTTTACACTAGCAACTTTGGTATTATTAGCCTTTATTATGATAGTTGTGTTCAGGCTACGCCAAGTACAAGCTAAGGATTAAGCTAATCTTGTATGATTGCATATTGGCTATACCCAATCGTTTAAGCACTGGAGGGGACTAGAGTTAGCATGAATTAAAAAAAACATCCAAACTTGTTAGAACATAAAATCTTCAGTTATTTTAACTATGATTACTCATTACAGTAATCAGGAAGGTATGTATGTTAGTTATATTGTTATAAAAGAATAACAATGCAAATTAGGAAAGTGCTGATTGCAGAGTAACAGAAGTAGTACTGAATCTCATCATCATCAGTCCACAATGTTTTTGGCCTCTTAGCTGTGCATGACCTCAATAAAAACAAGCCATGCATGGTACAGTCCCTGTTAGTTATCGAATTTAAAAGATATATAGTTTTGTTTATAGTAATATAGCTGGAATATAACCATGTCAGGAATATTATTTTTTTACATTAAAATGATTGACATTTGTATCTGATCGTCAAACAAGTACTTGTCCATATTGAGAGATATTGCTCTGGAACAGCATTCAAAATCAGCCATTTTGAATACATGTATATATATAACATGATTTTTAACGAATATATAAATTTTGAACATAATCAGTCAAAGCATTTAAGAGACATGGCTCTAGAAGCCCAATCATTAAAACAAAATGGCCGCCAGTCAGCTATTTTGAATCCAATCTGAAAAATAAAATTACATGCATCAGGAACCTGTAATGTCTAATATGTGTACCAAGTTTGAACAAAATCCATCCATAAATGCAAGAAATGCTTGATATTTGAGGATTTTTCTAGCACAAAAATGACCACCATTTGGCCACTTTGAAAAGGATCGTCAAACCAATATATCCGTATATCTATGACATGATGTATAATGAATATTAAAAATGTTAACATAATCAGTCAAAGCAAGTCAGACATATGGGTCTGAAAACAAATTCATTAAAACAAAATGGTCGCCAGACAGCCATTTTGAATACGATCTGAAAAATAAATGATGTGCATCAGAAACCTGTGATGTCTAATATATGTACCATCAAGTTTGAATGAAAGCCATCTATAAATGCCACAAACGCTTGATATTTGATGATTTTTTAGCACAAAAATGACCACCATTCGGCCATTTTGAATAGGATCGTCAAACCAATATATTTGTCTATTTATGAGATGATGTATATAATGAATATTTAAAATTTTAACATAATCAGTGAAAGCAAGTCATTCATTAAAACAAAATGGCCGCCAGTCGGCCATTTTGAATCTTATCTGAAATACAAAATGATGTTCATCAAGGTCCATCAAACCGAGAAATGCTTGATTTTTATGATTTTTTAGCACAAAAATGGCCGCAATTTGGCCATTTTGAATCAGATCGTGAAACAAAATGATGTGCATCAAGGTCCTATAATGTCCAACGTATATACAAGGTTTGAACAAAATCCATCTGTAAAGAGCCGGGAAATGCTTGATTTTGATGATTTTTTAGCACAAAAATGGCTACCATTCGGCCATTTGTTAATAGAATCATCAAACTAATATATCTGTATATCTATGACATGATCTATAATGAATATTTAAAATTTTAACATAATCAGTGAAAGCAAGTCAGACATATGGCACGAGAACCACATTCATGAAAACAAAATGGCAGCCAGTCGGCCATTTTGAATCTTATCTGAAAAACAAAAAGATGTGCATCAAGGTCCTATAATGTCTAATGTATATACTAATTTTGAACAAAATCCATCTGTAAACAGCCGAAAAATCTGGAATCAGATCGGCCATCTTGAATCAGATCGTGAAACAAATTGACGTGCATATGTATAATATCATGTATGATGCATGTGTGAAGTTTGATTGTGATTGGTCAAGACATTTCTAAGATACAGGGTCGGACGTACGCACGGATGCACGCACGGATGCACGCACGGACACACAGAGGTCAAAACACAAGTCCCCGTTTTCGACTTGCATCCGAACGTGGTCTAATTAAATATAATATACAAGAAATTTTAAATTGATATATGATATGCACAAGGCCAAAATATAAAAACCAAAGCTGCCTTTGTGTATATTCCACACAAAATAATATTACAAAATATATATAATCAGAGGTACATTACTTGGGGTTTGCAACCCGCATAGTACTGTATACGGTGACATCATGCCAAGATCCCATTCAAGTCTCATCTCGTAGATAGCAAGACTGATGCTACGACCTTCTGACATGACATAGGCGGTTTGTAATAAAACAATAAAACATGTATTACCACATTCATAGTGAAAAAATGTAATACATCAAAAATGTACAGAAAATATAGTTATCGTAATCATCATCCGTGAGCAGCTATTTTGATCCACCTGGACATCTCAGTATCCTAGTTACCTTGGGCATGCGCATTCGCATTTTTCTGAGTTGGAACGCTTATGCGAGAGCGAGATTGAAACGGGATCTCTGAGCTGTTACTAAATTTGGCATGAATATTCTACATTGAATTGAGTGATGTAACAAGGCAAATCAGCACTATGATATGCATCATGTCATATGACCAGTTTTTTTCATACAGCAATATTTATGCTTAAATTGACAATTATGCTACAGATGCCTTGGAGTTGAGTTTATACTGTTACCAGGTGTATGTCAATATTGACGTCTTCAATTTTCAATAGATTACTTCCTGTTTCAAATGTGTGCATACCATGTCAGTCTATAGTGTTAATTGTTCCAAATACTCTCACACATGGCCATATCTAACACTGGATATTATGTCAAGTTATGAGTGAATTGTGTTAAGTTTTTATAATAGACTAATTTAAATACTACTTTGATTAAACCATTATTTCACAATATTGCAAATCATCAATGACCTTATAATAACCACAGTGGTTCACAGGACTAATTGTCAAACAGATCATAGGTTGAAATAAAGACACAATTGCAGAACTGAGATATCACAGCTCCACTGTTTCACGGGTGCAGTCCAATATCAATAATATCAAACAAAACATCGACATTTTGAAAGGAATTTCTTATTTTGACCACACCTGCGAACACAGTTACACCGCCAGCTGATGTAGTGAGTCATTCGGCTACTGAAGCACATTTCGACAAAATGGCTTTATAAACAAACGACGAGCGCTGGACATTTCATAACCAAAGTATGTCGGCACGGTGTACTAGTATATCTGGACCGCCCACAGACAAGCCGGTGTTGTTATTGTTATTTCTTGGGACAGGCGACTCCGTGCCACCGAAACAAATATGGCCGAAATGTCAGCACGAACTGATGTGCAAGGGTCCAGGGTCCTATACGAAGGCCGATTTCACCTGACAATACTCTGCCGATTCTCTTCAACATCCAATAAGTGCGGTGTAATGATTCGAGAGAACGTTACGGAACAATTTCATTTGCATTCATCATCGAGTGATGATCGAGCTATCCTAAACTAAAAACCAAACTTCCATCACGACAATATTTATCGGCTTTGCTCTGCTCTCCTCTCCTTAGTGCTAAGGTCTCTTGCGTGAAACTTCAAGCTTTTGACAACAGAAATCAGAGAAACACTTCACAACAGATCGGAATTAACGTAAAACGTTTGTCCAAATTGATAACAATAAAGTCAGAGAACAAATTAACACAACTATGATTACGGTAAATTACCTTTTGCCGTGCTTGGCACGAATACGCCAGCAACCTGTTTGCTCCAATGTAGGACTGGATATATCAGTGCCAGCAAAACACCCCCAGCAAACACAACGCTGAGTAAAAATTTCAACAAATAGCCCCATGGTACTCACCTTGGAAGTGTTTATATCCTCTGCGGAGTTACAGTCGCCTTACTGGAAGAAACAATCTAACAAAAATGGCATATAAAACTTAGAAGTCAGAGGAAAGAGAGTCGAGGCCGCTTGCGAATTCCGCGGATAAAGCAAAACTAATATCTTTGGACGATTACATTGAACATGCAGGGGACGTAGATTGGCACTGGGGGTGAATCTTAATATTGCTACAAGGGTATTCAGAATATTGTATGAATAACTAATGAATTCTATTCATATAACTACTTTTATTTATAAATGTTAACTTGTTGACATGGTTTGATGGTACAGTATGTAGATAAATTATCAGGATCCGAAGTCGAAGCACCGTCACGCGTAGTGGTTGATTCTAATGTCGTGGGTCATTTGTTGTCATTCCTTGGGCGTGGGGCGTTGTAATTTGTCAGTATATTGTTCGCCTATGTATTCAGAAAGTTCACTGAGCTAGGGCGGAGCCACCGTACCCATTCGACGTAGTTAAATAAACACACTGGAAAAGAAACTATGATCTTTTCTTCGATGTGACCTTGCGTTATTATATAACAAATATGAACTATTTTGAAATTGTTCGATAAAATAGACTAAAAATCTGTATTTAATTAAAATTAGACAACACCCGTTCATTAGTGTTTATAGTTATGTCAACTGATTTTGTATTCAGCGTACAATATAATTACTTTATTGAGTGGAACCCTTTACATGTTTAGTGGCCCATCACAAAATTGTACACAATGATTGAAGACTCATCGTATTATATTATTATATAAGTTATCCGTGGCGGTATCTTTCGTCTGTTTGCCAACCCCATCTCTCCTACCGTGCTTTCAACTGTAGGACAGTGGGATTTGGGGAATTTAAGTTGGTGTTATTGTTATATTATTTATTGCAACAATTTTATTATATATAGTGTGATATTTACTTCACAATATCATATAATTCTACGGCTTGAAGTGAAGAATGAGCATTCTTAATTGCTGTTGTTATATGATACGTTCTAGTTAGGACATATTACATGAAATCAAAGTACCGACAACTCTGAATACGCGACAAATTAAGTTACATAAACGATTTATAAGATAAATCCTTGGTTACATGTTTACACGCACAACCACAATTTGATTGACCGACACTTTTTGGTCAAATAACAGTTACCTCACGTTTATATGTGGTGACAATAGTAGCTTTTCAGACTACTAATTTTTGAATCCTCTTTCTTATTTTTTTTTATTATTAACAAGCATGTAAAGTATATTTATTTATTTGAAAATAGTATTATTATTATAAACCCAAATGGTTACTCATTGTATGTGAGCTTGTGACTCTCATTGTGTGCTTTGCGGAATGGAGAGAGACGGCTGCCAAATCATTCTAGTCATTTTGTTTGGAATTGAATGAAGACTAATTTTCAAATGAAAAATAGTTTGGGCAGTGTATATATTTATTTTAATAATAGTTATAAAATAGGTTTGTTGACTTACGTTTAATAATAATTATCTTTATTGTTAACGTATCCTCTATGGGACTTTGATTATAAAATACAATAAAGGTTTAGCAATGAAAAAAAAATGAGATTAAAAAAGTATAAAAAAAAGTTATTAATAAAATATAATAAATTGAAGTAAATGTTTTTATTCATTTTGAGGCAGCTGGTAGTTCTTTTTTCAAGTTTTTCTCTCGGATTTTAAAACAATCATGTTTAGCAATTTAAGGAACTAATTTTTTACTACCATTGTTTAGTATTGCAACTATTTTTTCTTTCTCAGGAAGTTTGGGAGGTAGCAGCAAATTTTTGAGAATCTAATTTCTTTCTTTTTTTATAGAGACCGCATTAAAGAAAGAAGTGCTCTTAATTTTTTATTTCGTTTAATTGACAAAACTGACATTTTCTTTTTGAAATGTCAATGTTTTTATGTCTTCCAGTTTCTATTCCTAACACATGAGCACTAATTCTTAGTTTGTCATGTGTAAGGGATTTTGCACAGTTTCTAAATATTTTTCAAAAGTGAATTTTGTTTTTAGATGTCTGTATATGCGGAGTTTATTCTGATGTTTTGTTCCCTTATTATCATCATACATTGAATCTAATCAGTATGTTTGAAAGTTGGCTGCAAGCTTTTCAGGTACTGATTTAGGCAGCTTTTCATGCTTGTAATGGTTTTCTTCCCAGATGTGACTCATGTTCTAATAGACATAATTTATACGTACATGTATCCATATTATAACTGTATGCCTTCCGATTTTAAGAAGTTGCAGAAAGACATATCTTCTCTATCAATAATACAGCTGCAAAACAATTACATGTATTTCAACCTAATCAACCATTAATAGGAAATAGTCAATGTAGTATATAATTAAAACAAGGAAAATAAAAAGAATAGTTCATACAATGAAAAGCCACGGTGTTGTGGTACTATTTGGATATTTGTGAACAATCCAATAAACTACACAACCACGGAATCTTTACATTGAATTGTTTTTAGTCAATCGACTGGCCTTCAGAAGAAGATTGAAAGAACAATTTCTGAGAATACCAACGTACACGACGCAAACGATAAGACAGATGTCACTAAATACACTTTAACATGGAGGTATAATATATTCAAATGACAAAACACATAACTCAGAGAAGAATTGTCACAGACTCGTAATGAAATAAACATGCTGTCTGTGATGAATGTCATACCTTACTTATTTTAAAATAGCCAGATTGTTTTATTTTCAAACTTTAGTTGTTTTTGTTGATCATTGATTTATTGTACGTTTCCTTCACACTGAATTTTGTGTCAAATAAAATATCTAATATTTTTATTTTATAATATTGTTTGGCTTTTCAGGTAAATTATAGCAGACCCAAAATTCCATAATATTGTCAAAATATTTATTAACGTTTAACCAACATTTGCAGAACATGAAAAATGTTTACTCCTGTATTTGTGGAATATTGTCATCAAGCCTATCTAAACACGATGTTGAAATGAAAGATTATAGTCATTAGTCAGAACTGCTTTCTCTAATTGGGATTCTTGAAGTACATGTAAGTTATTGAAAAAGTTTGCTTCTACATCTATCAAACAAGTATTATTCTGTTCGATACAATAAACCTATTTTCGTAATTTTTATCAATTTCAATGACACAGTAGAATCAGCTAGTCCAACTTGAATAACGCAGTATGCAATGACGTCATTTCATTTGTGTTTGGTACCTAACTATACATGGACACTCTGTATTGAGTGTTTGCGGTAATGTATCAAATGCGACTAAACTACTGAAAAACAAATAACAGAACATAAGGTATACCTCTGTAAGAAACACACACAATTATACTGAATCTGGCTCAACTCACTGTGCTTGTCAAAATTGTTTATTATAAAGGATTAATACTGGTAATGTAATAAAGAACAGAAGTAAAGAAAATAATAAGCAGACATTGATATTAAATTAACATCTTATTTTCTACTTGAAATGCCATTGGAAATGGGATATAACTGATGTATTGCATACGTCAGTAATGTGATTTCTTTGATTCATGATATATGGATTTACTTCTAGTCAGGTCATATTCCAAGTGCAGATATTTTAACATATTACAGGTAAACATTAGTGTTGTATTGTACTTTTTTGTGTTTTTGCCCTCAATACTATCCTTTGATCGAATTTGTATGACACATTTGATTTGTAACTTGTGCAACTCTTTTGTTTGTATTCAAAAAATGATCCTCTGATTCCAAATAGTTGCAACAAATAAATACTATAAGACGGATAGCCTCTTTCAAAAAAGATTGTCCCAGATCCTTCCAGTCTCAGTACTTTTCTGAGGCCTTGTACATATACTGCAAGTATATGCATAAATATAGATGTAATTGGTAAAACCATGTTCACAAAGCAGTTATGTATGGGTATAATTGATTAAAGACCCATGTATTATGAGTCATATGCAAAACAATCTATGCATGTCTGTGTTTTCGATTGAAATATGTATGTACAATGTATTGCCTATTTATTTCAAATTATTATATTTAAATTACATGGACTTTTAAACACTGAATTAAATACACTGAAGGCACTATATTTTGGTTCAAGTTGGAATGCAGGGCAGGGCAGGGCAGTAATGGGCGTAATGGACAATGGCCATGTAGAACCACTGTATTCATTCAATGCATAGCAATACATTAGTTGAATATCAACAAAAAAGAACAGCAAAACTATTGTTCAGCTTTTACCATAGGAGTCAAGTTTGGTTCTTGCCAACAATTATTTTATATGGTGAACCAACACTTTCAGTCATCACACAATCTATATGGTGAACCAACACTTTCAGTCATCACACAATCTATATAGTGAACCAACACTTTCAGTCATCACACAATCTATATGGTGAACCAACACTTTCAGTCATCACACAATCTATATGGTGAACCAACACTTTCAGTCATCACACAATCTATATGGTGAACCAACACTTTCAGTCATCACACAATCTATATACTAAGTTTCCTTAAAATTTGAAGAGTTTATTCATAAATATCTGAAAGCAGTTTAATTTATGCAAATAATATGCAGTGATTTGAGATCTAGACTACCGGTAATTGGATAAGTGCATTAACCCAGGTATTCTATATTTCATTAAAATGTAAAGGATGGTTCTGAAGACATCAATTTAACACTGACACATAATGACAGATAAGAAAACAAAGATTACATTTGTGTGTTTGTATATAGGAGTCAAATAATGACAAAAATGAGGTTGATTATCCTTCAATATTTTATTAATTATATCTCTCAGACACTAATGAAAGAAGTATTTTGCAAGACTTGTGAATGTATGAATAAAACATTTTAATATCACAGATGAAATGCATCATACTCTGAGAGTATGAATTTGAGGAAAAAGTGTCATGAATATTCAAATAGAAATGATTTTTAGCAAATCCAAATGACAATTGATTCAAATTTCATTAAAAATTTATCCTTTTGATTCATCAAATATTTGAATATTTCATGCATACCTCAAAAACTCCAATAAAAATAC